TTACCCCTCCCCCTCCCCCTCCCCCTCCCCCTCCCCCTGAGCCCTCACCTCCTCCTGGAGGTCTCCCCCGCTGCCGCCGGTGAAGGTCACCTGCTTGACCAGAGTACCTACTACCCGGAGGCTGTTGCCGGAAAGCACCTGTGATAGATAAGAGTGCATTATCAAATTATTAGGAAAAACGTCTTGTTGTGAGCACACAAGGTGTTGGCGTGTAGCCGACAGTCGCGTAAACACAGCACAACAAAGTACAACGAAGTAAGCAAATCATTGGACCCACCATCAACACAATACCAGTTTAAGATAGGCCATCTTTAATGACACGGTGCTCATGGGTTAGAACGAACCTGCAGACTGACGGTGACGGTGGCGGGTGCAGAGCCCACAGTGACTACAACTCCGCCCTCGAAGACGTCGCCAACACGAACAAAGGCCGGTACGCTAGGGGTGAGGGACAGGCTGCGCCGTACAACCAATTTGCTCTCCCCGGAGCCGTACTTGGCCACAGAGCCGGCGGCGGCAAAAGCCCTGCGACGAGGACCACCGAAAGGTGATGGTTGAGGTGGTTGGTTGAGGTGGTTGGGGGTAGGTGGTTGAGGTGGTTGGTATACCATTGGGGTATCGGGTGAGAGGTAAGTAATTAAGTGTTGATGGGTCCCAAACCGACAAACCGACAAACCCTTCAACTAAAAACAACACAACTTATAGATTCACTGAGAAGTCTACACTGATATATTACCATGTCGCTTCTCGCACTCCATCACGTACAAAGAAAACCCTACAACCCTACAACATCCCCTGAGGACCCCCACCCCCACCCGTGGCTGCTGCTTACACCACCAACTGCATCGTTACCTGTTTCCCCCCACACGCCACTCCCCTTCGTACTCCGTGCCGTCTCCCCGGCCATACACTACTGCCGTACTCCTTAGTCGTACTCCCTAGCCGCACCCACAATCACTTCTTCACGATAAGCGAACCCCAATCCTCGCCCATCCAGCGGTAAACATACATATCACTACAAATATTTTTTAACATACAGACAAACATACATCTGCGTACGTACATACATACATGCATCCATACTGTTGGAAATGACCGTCACTCATATAATACACCAGTGGATGGTAACAGCCGCAACAGGACCCCAGGGGGGGGGGTCCGTGGCGCTTTGCTGGTCTTAACGACATACATACATACATACCGGATTACAAACGTTCCCAGGTTTTGTGGCGCTGTGAAGTTGAAGGTTGCGCGACCAGTGGAGTCAGCCAGGACGTGTGTGAAGAGAGGTGTCACCACGAACTGGCCGACGCGACGAAGCAGCGCCAGCGACGGCGAGGGGATGGGGCCGTCACCCCGTTCGTCCGGACGACTCCCGCCCAAGGCTATGGAACCTGTGGCATCATTCAGGTTATGATTCCCTACATCGTTAGTGAATTGCATGTGTGGACATGCGGGTGAGTGTGGATGTGGGCAGGTGTGTGGGGGTGTGTGGGGGTGTGTGTGGATGTGTGTGGATGTGTGTGGATGTGTGTGGATGTGTGTGGATGTGTGTGGGTGTGTGTGGATGTGTGTGGATGTGTGTGGATGTGTGTGGATATGCGGGCGGGGGGAAGCCAAATCAACCCGAGGTCGGCTGCGAGCTAGCTAGCAGCTGATGTTCGGGGGCGATGGTAATGCCCTGAACCTGCGGTACCGGTTACTTCATCGTTGCAGAGGCTATTGCGTTATCACTTTCCGAGTTCGTTAGGGTCCCCGGGTAGGTGCCTTGCCTACCTGGCAGCGTCCTGCCAAACAGAGCATAACAACGTTTAGTTGTTGAAAACTAAGGGGCGGCCAACAGGGCTGAAACCCAACCTGTTTGGGCCGTCCCTATCTATTTGGGGCGTCCGTGTTTTGGTGTTTGGGCGTTTTGGAGAGCGCGGGGTGGGAGGGGGAAATCCCTCAACGTCAACGGGGGAGCGTAAAGAGAGCCGCTCATAAAGTCGCTGGCAGCTGATGGAGCGGCAGCTGGTCAAAAGGTACTCAGGCAATGCGGTTTATAGGAATCGTATCGGCAGACGAGTTCGATGTATGTATGCCGTACTGTGAACGGCAGCCACTGTAGGGCAGCAGCTCATGCTGCAATGAGGCCACACTATAGCAAGTAGCTCAAATTATTTATTGTAACGCATTAATAAAACATGAAATTTGTATATGTAGATGTATAGGTATGTAAGTATATGTATGTAGGTATGTAGGTATGTAGGTAAATGTGTATTAACTAAACTCGAGCACCCTAAGTCACTGCCTACCTGGAGGAGGCGGTCCTGTACGAATCCAGATCCGAAACCAGTACGAACACAAACGTATCCACGACGTAGGCGAAGAGGAAGAGGAAGAGGAGGCGTAGGTAGGTAATGAGGGAAGGGGTTAACACACGCGCCAACGGCAGGGCGCGAGTAGCAGTAGCAGCAGGCAGCTTGGTCAGCGGCTCGGAGACAACAATAATGAAGAGCAGGACCGGCGGTCGAGTGCAAGTAAACAAGAAAACGCCCTAAAACCCTAAGTGGAGCTACATTGGAAAGCAAAACTCAAAATAACATCTTAACCCTTAGATTACTTTTAGGTTTATATGGTCCTTTTGTAGCTAAATACTCCCAAATGATGATGCTTTGGTTTCCCCTCCACCCGGCTGCTGTACGACAGATGTAGTGCAATTGTGGCACCACCATGAGCTGAAGACAGGCACACAAGGCTCGCAAGGCACACACACATACACACACACGCACATACACACACGCACATACACACATACATACACACACGCACACACACGCGCACACACATATACACATACGCACATGCCCACGTACTTTGGGCCTGTGCGGGAAACAGGGGTGTAGCGCCGGCCCCCGGAAGAGCAGTACCGTATTCTCCGTCGTAGTAGGAATTCCAGTAGTAACCCTGTACGTATGTATGTATGTATGTATCATACATACATACCCACAGAGGCAGTGGTAATATTAGTAGTAACAACAACAGCAGCAGCAGTAGTAGCAGCAACAGCAGTAGCAACAACATGAGCAGCAGCAACAGCAACAACAAAAGCGGCAGTATAGTTCAAGAAGATACAGCAAGCCCCAGAGGGCAAGCTGTGTACGGCAGCATATGTACGGCACTCACTCCACTATAGGTGATGAAGGAAGTGTATTTGGCCAGATACACGTCGTCAGGGGTATCCACTGCCATGGAGTTGAGTGACGTATCCACGGGAAGCCAAGGGTCAAGACCGGTAAGCCTGTACGGCAGGGTTACACAACATAGTTGTACGAAAGGGCGTACGACAAGTGTGCACAAGGATGAGGAAAGCAGGCAGCGAGAGTGTATATATACATATAGTATACACATATATAGTACATATTTATACATATATGTTGTACACGTTAATGCCCAGGTAATAACCGAACAGGTAATAGGTAACCCAAGGGCGCCGACAACCTGAGCGCATCACGCTAAAATTCCGTTAGGTGGGGGAGGGGCCCTAAGCGACGCGTCTAGAAAAGTAAGGCTTTCTCTGTGAATTCGGAGAGCCACTGTACGATGTACGGTTGCTTGCGTGTTTATGTGTCGCTGCGAGTGTGACTGTGCTGGTTACCTCGGGTTCGCGTAGAGCAACGTACTAGGGGGTGCTGTGCCCTGAAGCGTAGCTTGGCCTGCAGGCCTAATTCTGTCGCTTACCTAGGGGTTGTGCTTTCCCGCACTCGGCCCGGGCTCCATTAAGCCACTAGTTAGGTTCGGGACGTAACGTAGTAGAAACGACAACGGAATTCCCCCCCGCGGCGGATCCTTCGGAGCGGCTATCCGGCCTTCGGCAGGATCCCCTAAAGTCGCTACGAAAGACTACGTAAAACATCCCCAGCAGAGTTGCGCAACATTAATGTAATATTGAATGTTGTATGCGTGCTAAGTAGTGTCGGTTCAAAGAACCTCGTTGGAGTTTAAGGCACGTTGCATCCTTTATTTTAGGTGCAAGTAGGTGCGAAAAAACCGACATGCTGCTTCGGTACGTGTACTTGTTTATGATGTCATGTATGTATCTAAATCAAAATTCTGCTACTATACATATACGTATGTAATAATACATATAAACGTCTTACACTCTCGCCACGACAAAACGTGCTACATAAATACAAACAACGTGCTACATACGTTTACATACGTACGTATGTACATTATAGCACGTTATTGTAGCGAGAGTTTTAGGGGCATATATAGAAGAATGTAGTAATAAGATGTAAGGTGTTTTTGGGTGGGGGGTGAAGAGGAGGTAGAGACGGGGTAAAGGGCCCATCCCAGCTCATGATCTTATGCATATGTCTGGATGGCGGTGGATGCCGGTGGATGCCGGTGGTGGGTGCGGAACATGAGCGATCCACTGAGAAGTTGACTGGGGTGACTGGATGAGGGTGCCCCGAAATACCGGGGAAGGCAGGGTTTCGCAGGGTAGCTGCCACGGGCGAAGATACACCCCCACTGTTTCACACATCATACATCTGTGTGTATATTTAATAACCACACTGAATAACCACGCAACCAAGGTGTAGCACACACATACACACACATACACACACATACACACACATACACACACATGCACGCACATGCACACATATACACACACATACACACACATACACACACATACACACACATACACACATACACACACATACACACACATACACACACATGCACACACATGCACACACATGCACACACATGCACACACACAATCAACATACAGATAGAGTAAAGCAAGGAGAAGTGGGCAATGCAACTGCTGAGTGTCGTACAGATAACATAATCGAGAAATAAATTCCTGCTTTCCATCAGCACATCTTAGAGATGATGATGCGTGCCGTCACCCTCTCGAGTCCCCAGCGAGTCGCCGTGGTTGTGGTTGTGGTTGTGGTTGTGGTTGTGGTTGTGGTTGTGGTTGTGGTTGTGGTTGTGGTTGTGGTTGTGGTTGTTACAGTGGGCTCGAGACTCACAAAGAGTAGAGCCAGCGCCGTTGCATGAAAGGCGATCGATCTTCCAACAACTCATACCCGGCGGTCCATACATTCTGCACACAATACTTTTTGAGTTCCGTACTCCGTACCTCGCAATCAATGTATCGTACACCGCCCGTATGGCACCTGGCGCGACGCGGTAGTCATCTGTTTGGAACCCATTCATATACGCATCCAACGCAAGCACGATCTCCTTATGCGGCTTGGGAAGATTGTACGGCAGAAGATCCAAAAAAGCTTTGTCGATGCCGTACACGGTCACCTCCACCGGACCGTCTGCCGCGGCTGAGCCTACATCCACCGTAACCTGCGTTGTACGACATGAGGCAGGCGGGTACGACATGCGGCGGTGGAAAGGACAACAAAAACTCAAACATGCACACATACATACATACATGCACACAACAGCCACCTGCCTGGCAGAGGTTAAGGCCTGACTTCTGCTCCCGGAGTGTCCGGGTTCAAATTCGCCTGCCGACTTCTCGGGTGTTTGAGGAGTGTTGAAATAGGAGGTGGCCCCCCATCTTATAAACGTGATTTTATCGACTTGCGAGCTGACCAGGAACTAAGTTGTGGTGCCGTTGATCCGCTAGATTTGGTTGGATGCTGGTGGTGAGTTGCCGAACCCAACGAATACATTCTGAAGTCGGATGGGGTGAACGGATTAGGGTGCCCCTCTCGCAGGGGAGTGCAGGGAACTGCCTCGGGAAAGGGGGCCGCTGGCGAAGCTATACCACCCTGTAACAACATACATACACACATACATACACACACCGCGGTTCCAGCGTTTTTCTCCAACCCCCCAAACGCCGCGGCATTCCCCATTTCCCACCAGGCCCCTCTTCCCCACACAAAATGATGTAAACGCTCTAACCTGCGCTGTCGCTCCTGGCTCAACCACCACAAGATCCGCTCCGTTGGAATCCTTGACCGTTGTAACGCCAGCCGCGCCGACCGCCGCTGGCGCCGGCGTCACTTCAACTTCCACGGACAGCTCGTTGTCGCGCAGGATGCGAATGTCGGCAGTCATAATATGCGCATGCGGGGCGCGGGGATCGAACAGGGCACTCACGGGTAGCTCGCTACGTGGAGGCAATATCGGTACGTCCGTCGGGCCCGCCCTTGGTACGTCAAGTACGACCGTCATTGCGCAGTTGAATTCGCACTCCGAACCGAGAGGCCCTATGACCGCGGTGAATGGCTGACCGGCGGGAAGCTGGGGTTTTTGGCGGGGAGGGGAGGGGAGGGAGGGATGGGGGTTGGCAAATGGCGTTTAGGGGAGGAAAAGGTTTTCTTATGGGGTGAATGATGCGTGTGGAGGATGTGTATTCCTGTGCACGACACCAGACTTCGGACGTTTTGGCAATACTTGCATGGCCCCCAGGAAGCCGCTCAAGCGAGGAAGCGTACTCCGTGGCAAGCATTAAAGCAAACGGCACATCGGATGAGATAGTGTTGTACACCGTGGCGCTGGTACGGCATGCCGTACGTGACATGTCGTACACGTCTTTGTTCTCCGCACCAACTCACCCCAGTGAATACCATTGTACGGACGCCGTATGTCGTACCCCAGACCACCAGCATACGGCTAGCCGAGTAGGGGTTATCCAGCCATAGACGGGGGGATTCGCCCAGACGATATCCGTCAGGTCTGGGGGAGCGGTTGGGGGATGGTGCGGGGCGAAGGAGGGAATGTGTATGTACGGCATAAAAACACAGTGGCGTACTTCAGGATGTGTTGATTTCGGTGCAAATTTGCACACGCCTGGAAGCCATTTCTCTCTTAGTTGCACCTCACACACATATAAATGTTTGTTTGGGAAATTCAACTTTCCAGGCTGGGTTTTTTTGTGATATCCTGGGTATCACGCTATCCCGAGATCCACAGATCGGTTCTTTTCTGAAAAGTCGTGATGTAACACTTTCCATCCCGGGGTTGGGCTCCTCCCAGATTTCTGTACTTTGAACCTCCCTAGTTTTCCTCACGCACTTGTCCAGGAAAATCGTAGGCTCCGGAATTCCTGACAACGGAGCTGCAGCCCACAGGGTCGCGTCGCGGCCACGTGTCGTACTGCCGCACGCACGTGTCGTACTGCCGCCGTACGGCACATCAACACATGCCTCCAACAGGAACTGGCCAACGCAGGGAAGCGCCAGGCGGCACGAGGCCGCGGCGGTCGGCCAGTCGGCGCCGCTGGATGTCGTACAGTTTGCGATGCCGCCGGTGGCGGAGGGCACCGCGACGGCGGCGCAGGTGGCGGCGGAGGCGGACAAGGGCTTCATCGTGACGTGTACGGGCAGGTCACGAATGGCGGCGCCGTCGACGGAGGAGGTGACGGCGGCGGCAACGGTGAAGGGGATGCCCGGGATGTCGGTGACATGGCTTGTGGAGATGGAAACGCTAACGGGACCAGATGCGATCCTGTACGACAGGGGCCGGGTGTGACGCAAGTGTAATCTGAGTTCGTTTGTATGTGCATGTGTACGTGTGTTTTGGGACGCCAGCGAGCCGCTCCCCTATTTAGTTATGGATATGTACGGAAATAATGTCCTATTAAACCCGAAGTTATTTCCCCCCTGACGCCTAAGTGTGCCTGAAAAATGTACTTAAATAGGCAATAGCTCCAGGCCTTTACCTACCGCCCACATGCAAAGACCCCCATGGCTTTTTGTTGGGGAACAAAAAAATAAAAACAAGAAATATAAAAATAAAAAAATAAATAATCTACCTTACGGACGAGGACTGGATAATGCGCTCTCTTGTAGGTCCTATCCACTCCGCCTTCACACTGACGGTGCCTGTAAGCACCTTCCCCGCCGCCGCCGCCGCCGCCGCCGCCGCAACCGGCGCAAGATTAATCGTCGCTGCCGCCACACCCTCCATATTCGTTGTCAGATTCAGCACGCTGCTGGCGGAGGCGCCGCTATTCACCAGTGACCACGTCACGGTGACGACGGAGTCGCTGACGGAGGCACCGATGTAGCTGACGGCGGTGGCGTTGACCGCAAAAGATCCATTGGGAGTGACCCATGGGTCCGTTACCAGCTTAAGCTCTGCCGTGGGAGGTCGTGGGCTAGACACCACAAAGGTCTCGGAAGAGAGGTAGACGTCGTCGTCTATATGTAACAGGTCGGTCACAGCTGGTAGCGGTGTCGTACCATTCGGTACGACAGAGCTGACGAAGGCATTGACGGTGTAGGTTAGCATCTTGGCGGAGGCGGGTACGGCGATCTCCGCATGGAATGTCCCTGTAATCCCGCTCAGCTGAACGGGAGAAGACGGGTATATGTTGTACATTGTCGTACGCTTATAGTTAACATACATGTATACGACACAATAGCATATATACCATTAAGCACGTGCATGTATCAAGCACGGAGGTACGGAGCTATGTGTACGGACCAAGTTCGGCAGGGAGTTTATGGAGCATACATGCACTAGAAGTGTGCGTGTATCATAAGAGCACATTTCATTCCAAGTTAGTCGTCACTTCATTCTCCTTAGTTCCTAGGGACTGTCTCTCGTTCTGTTCTGCTGCTATCCTTCTGTTCTTGTTCAGCGTTCCTTTCCTCGAACTATCGACAGTAGCTATAATAGGAATCCGTGAAGAAACGTACTCCTCAACGAAATGATGCATACAATGCACACAATGTATGTGTGTGTTACAACTTCTGGAGTTGCGTTACTCACCGATGGTACATCTCTAGGTTACGCGATATCCAAAAATTCTAGTCCAACTACCCTGACGCCTAACTACTTAACTCCCTAACCACCTAAGGGGGAGAGAGCAATTGTTCGGAATGGTAAAAAATAGCCCCATTCATGATGCGGAAACAGTGGAAACAGAATTCATCCAGTAGCTTACCTATAATTTTGCCGCGGAATGATCTCGGTTTTACTTCAAATAGAGTCTTATCGGTAAATATTACTATTGCCTAATAAAGAACCAAACAATTAAACATTCGGACCACCCCAAAACACACACACACACCTACCGTGGCCACCGTAAGGGGAAGTATCCCCTCAATAGTACCGTTGAAATTGGGCACCACCTCCAGTAGAATGTATGCATCGTTAGGGAGAGACAGCCCCGTTGGGGAAGCCAATTGTACGAAACCTGCGAACGGGTTGATGGGCGGGCACACACGGTTGTGCTGGTTTCGGAGGAGATTCATCATAAAAACGCTCACACAATTGAAAACTTTCCGATGCGTCCAGATGCACACACATACATACACACGTACACACACTCTCCGAAACCACCTGTAATCTTGACGGAGTCCGCGGGCTCCACCACCTTGCGATCCAAAACGATGGAGGCCTTATACGGAGACACCGACTTGGGGCTTGTCACCCAGCCGCTGTACGGAAGGAGTGCCGTACGTACCCCCGCTGCAGAAACGACCCGCGCCACTGCTGCCAGCATACTGCGATCCTGCGAAATGTTCATTCAACAAACCTTCTAACACTGTTAGTTCTATCCATCTATCTATCCATCTATTTATCTATCTAACCTTCTACCTATCTATCCTTCTATCTATCTATCTATCCTTCTATCTATCTATCCTTCTATCTATCCTTCTATCTATCTATCCTTCTACCTATCTATCCTAACAACAAAAAACACACAAACATAACTAATGATATTTCATACAGAAATATCGCGTCACATGACTGTCCTGTCTTCGACAAAACTTAGTACGTGTGTACGGAGGAGTGCCAAACAAGGAAGTTTAACAGACAGTGACGACAGAGCTCCGCCCCAACAGAATGTCCCTCACGACACCAACCGTTGCAATCTAGGAAACACCGCCAGGTTGGCCACCGTGGCAGCGTTAGGTTATTATTATCTTTGGCCCTCCCCCACCTTGGCCCTCAAACCCCCCGGGGACGAACCCACACGCACCGAGTCAGAAGTTAATCGCACTGCACAATATCCCTGCATGTTGGTCGTACAGTTGGCTAGCTTGACCGGCAACTCCACTTCGTCGTATCCGTACTGTGCAGGGTTTGGTGGCATTTAGGGACGGGAGTTAGCGGTTGCCTCGTCCAATGAGTACGAGGTAGCGTACGTAATGTACTAATGTACTAATTTATGTATGTATGTATGTATCCCCGAGGGGGTTGAACAGGCTAGGTACGGGTTTTGTCGTGTAGCGAAGTCTATCTCTTAGTTATAACTGATGATCGAGCCGCAATTTATCATAAATTCAGATAGAGATGGCCCATGGTGGGTGAAGTCCCACTGCCTCCCGAGTTCGTACTCATAATATGGCCGTACTTGTGACACTCACGCCAAGCCGTACATACGTACCCAGCCAAACGGTAAGGTGTAGAAAGACACATCGGCTCCTGCTACTGTGCCTGGGCCGCTGCCCCCGAAGGCATCTGTCACCCAGGCCACGAGAGTAGGCCCCGACTGTACGACACTGAGTGTCAAGTTCGTACGGAGTACGATTTTTGATTGCCCGTACGCGCGCTGTTCAGACTGTAGGGGAGTTTGGAAAATGGGAAAAAGTGGGACATGATGCGACGTCTTCGTTAGGACATTGAGCAATTTGTATGACCGAATTGTACAGCACAATAATGCTGTTGGGGCGGCTGTGTAAGGGACGGCAAGTACGGTTTCGGGTGACCGATATATTGCTAATTTTTCCAACTAAAGTTGGATGAGGAAAATGCATTTGATGATATGATGCCTGGTTAACCGTTGACCGTTAATCGTTAACACATTGAAGCTGGAGATTCACATTTCCCACCCATCCACCTACCCCCATTGCTCTTACTGCATGTCTCCTAAATAGGCATATTATGATACGTTATATAATATACTATGTTATATATCTCCGCAACACCACCACCACCACCACCCAACAGCAAAAAATTAACTTCAAATGCACAACAATTGCATATTAAAGCCTCACCCTCAATAATCGTAGTAGCCGGTACACTGTACGGCACCGTGAACAGCTACAAATACGAGTCCACCCCAGCATCTCGAGAGGCCTTTTCAGCGGTGGCCAGCTAATACAATAATAACCATCCTATCATCACAGACCTATATTACCATTCGCCTATATCCGGATGTACAACATTCCCAAAATACAATGTACAACATTCAATGCCCACCCGTACTCATCTTAAACTGTATTGGAACTACCCTTGCTTCTACCAAGAGAACCCTAAAACCCCTGTTAAGCCCAAAACAAAAAAATATAATATCTCAAAAGTAAGTGTTAGATCCAACAGAACTCAGCTAGATGCCGTAAAAAAACAGAGACGTGTAACTACAGTCACCCCTTGCCCCCACGGTGATTCTTTCATTCCTGTTTTCGCTTTCCTCCCCCTCCCGCTAACCCTAAATCCAATAATATCTCCCTTCTCACACTGAACATTACTTACCCACCCCGGATGTACGGTTATATGATCTCCCAACCTCCCAAATCCCCCCCCAACAAACCGCACAACAGACAACTCACCACAGGTGTACAGCATTCTGACATTACTTGAAGCTGTGCAGAGCCTAAGGGGGCCTTGATTTGCGTCCAGTCTTGACCCAGTCCCGGGGTAGTTAGATTTCGGTTGACCGTTAGCACCATGTCGGGCTGGCCTAACACAGCTGTTGCATCTTGAACCCCGTAATCCATGGATGCCTGCATGTACGTGAGTTTACGGCATGACTGTTGTGTGACGTGGGCATTTGTGAGCCGAGCCGAGCCGGGGTAAAAGGGTAAAAGGAAGTCAACCCGTTTTGCCCATGGTGTTACCAAAGACATCCGATAAGCAAGTTTTAAAAGACATATCTGCATGTATGTACGTATGTATATAGCTCCTACACTCACTCACTCACTCACTCGAAACCCTCATTACCCCAAAACCATTTCACTGCTACCTGAATGAAGGCAAACAGACGGATTACGTCAGCATCAATGGCAGCGTTAATATGGTACGACTTGATGGTACGGGGGTAGCCCTCCTTTGGCCATCCGTACATGCCTAACGACGGTGAACGTGTGATGTACGGCCAATAGCTGGTTTGTGGGTCAATGTCCGCGCCCTCGAGGACCACAAGGGCAGAGCCACCGTTGTTGGGCGCTGCAAACATGTACTGGACGTCCATCATCTTGAACTCCGTAGATGACCCCTGCAGGCGTTACAGTAGTGATGTGGTGTACATGATGGTAAGACGGGTAAGAGGGGCTACTAACGAATTCTTAACGAGTTTTAAAGGATTTGAGCGCTGGGTTATAGTCTATCTAAATTGCCGTATAAGTATTTCGTCCACTCCATAGAGGCCTATTCCGCCCCCAAGTAAATCCCCCCAAACCCTAAAACCTGACAGACCTGCAGTTTCTGATTGAAACCGTCCCGGACTGTGGAGCTGCGTGACACGTACACCCTGGGGTGGGAGATGGTGATCGGAGGTGACGGGCGATTTAGTTAAATTACACCAAAACCGGGTTTGGGGCGGGGCCCCAGCGTGAAGCGCCCAGGGGGCCCCCGCCTTGTAGGATTGCCCATGTCCGTGTGGCCGTGTGTGTGTAACGGACCAAACATAATACCTCGCCCGGCTGAAACGCGTTATTGGTAATGTATTGCATTCTCTAATGCAAGGTATCTCGCCTGTAGCCAACAAGCATCGTATGAGCACAAACAAGTTTGGCTGCCTCCATTGACTGAGGTCACTGAAAGTCACATCAACGCCTCTCGAGCTAAATTTAATCTCAAAAGGTGCCGCGTATCTCATAATTGAATTCTGAGATGACGGCGTATGATAATTCGAACACCCAGCTTGTGTTACCATTTGCCCGCACGGGCATTCCGACTTGCCACCAGCAGGCCGACAAATTTGCGTTCATTTCTCTATGAAGTACGCAAGCTGCTAGTTTGTAAATTTACTTTAGCCAATGCTCGGGGCCTCCGGAGACTTGCGGCGGAGCTCGCGACTGTGGGGCGGATTGCTGAGGCCGCTGGCGCTTCGGGGATAAACATCACAGACAGCACCGGAAAGTGCTGAGAGCTTGGGGGAAGTGTGTCGAGCTAGGCTTTGAGGGAGGCCCCAAGGGCGCGTGAGCAGGCGGGTCAATGCCTGAAGGGGCGCCGTAGGCAGTGTGTACGGTGCTGTACGGCGCTGTTTCCATGTGTGTTCGGGCTGCGGCACCAGACCGCAAATCCAACAGGCTGAAGGCTAGCAAGCGATTCCGCCTGTGCAAGCATAGCTCCCACCGCATCAGCACTGCTGCAACAAGCACAGCTCCCACCACGTTGACACTACCATAGCTACCGGCCTGTACGGATGCAGGGGACCCCCGCCCTTTTTCCGGCTTCGAGGAAGCCGACACAGCTTGTCCTTTTCCCTCCTCCTTCTCCCTTTCCCAACCCCCTAAAACCCCCAAGCCTAACATTACCGGACCTTCTCCCCCCCCCCGTTTTCCCCCAACCCCTCCCACCCATCCCGGCCTCCCTTCTCTCCCCGTTGGCCCCCCTCACCAAACCCGCTTCCCCTCCAGATAAACGTCTGTACGGCAGCTCGACGTACCGGTAGGTCCTGCCGGGTTGCGCCCGAGGTACCGTTAGCCTGGCCAGGGTAGGCCCCACCAGTGTAAGATTAAAGGGCACGCGGGCGCCACAGGCTGGCTGGCTGCTGTTACCAGCTGGAGGCGACGGACCCGTGGGTCGCTCACAAAGGGTGATGGCGGCAGCCAGATCAGAGGCGCGGGTGCCGGCGGCGAGGCCGTGAGGCAACCACATGTTCCAGCGACGATAACTGTGCGTGCGTGAGTTTGTGTTTGTGTGTGTGTGTGTGTGTTTGTGTGTGTGGGGAGAAAGGGGGAAAGGGGATAGGGAGGAAGGGAAGGAGAAGTTCAGGAGAGGGTAACCGACCAGTGTGTGTGCGTGTTTGTGTATGTGTATGGGGTGTATGTATGTGTATGTATGTGTGCATGTGCGTGTGCGTGTGGCGATTACAAGTAACGGACCGGGCCTGACACCTCTGGCCACTGAGGGGCTGCTGCCCAGCCCCAACGGAAAGACCGCCTAGATCCGCTCTCCTTGCCCCGGGGGTGGGAGGCGTCGCACACACGCACATCCTCACGAGTCAAGGCTCCGTCACGTGAGTTTGCGTGTATATATGTGTGTGTATGCATGTATATACATGTACATATGTGAGCTTGTATGTATATATGTATATATGTGTGTGTACATGTGGTATGTATGTATGTATGTATGTATGTATGTATGTATGTATGTATGTATGTATGTATGTATGTATGTATGTATGTATGTATGTATAGCCGGCGCGTGGATGAGAGACAGTCTTGCACTCGGGCGCAAGTACGGCGAAATGTACGACAACTTGTATCGCGTAATTTCATTATGTAAGGACTTGGTTTCTGATCCTCAATGAAGCATTGCTTATGAAAAAGTGAATAAACGCCATTTAAAAGCAATTGCTGCTGCTGCTGCTGCTGCAGCTGCTAGTGCCTGCTGCTGGTATCGTTGCAGGTAAGTTTACCTGAAGGCGTTGTAGGAGGTGACGGAATCGTCGTTGGGAATAGGGTTTAGAAAGGGGATGCGGAAAGGACCCAATCCAGCGAACACGTAGTCCAAATCTCTAGCAAGTTGCCCCGAAACCGCGTTGTACTTAGTTCCAGCTGGCAGACGCAGCGTATACCTTATCAGGGTGGTGGGGGGGGGAAAGAGAGCGAGAGAGGGAGAGCGAAAAGGGAAGGGGGAGGGGGAGGGGGGTGGGGGAAAGGGGAGTTAACTTGGAGTTTTGCCTGAAACCCTAACCCCCTTCCTTTGCTGCCCCCCTCAAGGCCACTTACCAGGTGTCAGGTTTCAGCAAGGGACCAACCTCCACGTCAGCACATGTCGTGTTGATGTCCAGGGAGGACTGTACGGCATGTAGCAGCAGCAGGCGGTAGCAGCAGTAGCAGCGGTTAGCTAGCATTAGCAGTGGCAATCATCACAGCTATAGCAGCAGTAGAAGGAGCAGTAGTAGTAAAAGCATCAGAAGCATAAGCAGGAGCAGATGAAAGGGTCCAAGAGCATTCAAAATCTAACCGGTACCCCTGCCTGCCCCAACTTTTCCAATCCACGTAAAATCGCAGAAACTAAGCAATTCGCAGCGAAGCAAGGAGCCATAAAGAAAAACCTAAAACATAAAATCTAAAACCCATCACCTCACGTTTGTGGCAATCCATGGTGCAGCGCTCGTACAGGGCCGTACGGTAAACTGCCTGGGGCCCGATGTCACACTGCCTTGCATGGAGTTGCCCTCCAAGATCTGTACGACACATATCAAACGCAAGTGTACGCCACGGGGTGTCAGGCCAAAACAAAATGATAGCGGGTTTTAAGAAACAATAGTTCGTTGCACAAAAAACAGCGAAGGAATACGACAAAACACAGCATCAAAACAAATATCTATCTTTATTGCAACACATGTATATGATCACTCGCCACAGAGAAATGAAATGCAAGGCCAAAGCATCAAAGAGGCAATTGCGTGTCAAAGGCGTTGCGTGTGCGTGTGCGTGTGTGTGTGTGTGTGTTCCTGTGAAGTCGTCAGTTAATACAGTTTGTTTCATTTCATTATGAGGGGTGCCCTCCACAAACATGTTTAAGCAGCCCCTCGCACAAATGTGTCCGGTCGTACTTCGCGAATAAAGCCTAAGTACACTCGTCCCAAAAAAGCCAGGAGCGAATTTTGCCGCGCAGATGCGCGCGTGCGATTCTCAAAATGCGCCTGTACAAGTGTATATAAACTTTTTTGGCGGATGAGGACCAGGTGCGCCAGCGCGTTGCGCAGGTGGGCATGTTGGCCATAGCCGCACGCTGGACTATTGCGTGGATGCTTTGCAGTAAATAAAAGCACCGAAAGCCAACGTCGTAGCTTGCAACTCTGGGCTCGTGAAACTGCCGCGGAAGATGAAGCGGTCGGCGAAGAATCAGCCATAAGGCGCCTGCTTTCGGTAGCGCAGCGCATAATGCACATTGTTCCGACTAAACTCAAGTTACACTCTTACGAAATAAATAATAACAACGCAGAATTAGGTAAAGAGAAGAATCGCGAAAGTTGTTCAGAACCTTGCAAGTAAAATGGATGCCGCTGAGGGCTTGGAACAGCTTTTCGCAGCGCATTCGGCCGTGCCTGCGTTAGCCGTGTTGCAGCTACTACGGAAGGACTTGAGCCAGCAGCAAGCTCAAATTCTGTTTAAGAACCACCAGCATTGTCTTCAGATGGGAACATGTAGTTTTGGACGGCGCGGGCGAGCAGCGTACGCATTGCGCACAGGTACCGAGGTGCAGCGTCTCAGGATGGATTTCAGCCAACAAAGCCTCAAGAGCTGCTGCACAACCACCGGTGTGTCTTCAGTTGGGCACGTGTAGTCGAGCATTGTATGCATTGCACACAGAAACCAAGGTGCAGCGTCTCTGTAACATCGCCAACATATCCGGTACGCGGTGGCAGGCTTGCCGAGCACGAAATGAAGGGGGGTCGCATCTCACCATTCAACTAAGCATGCATGTGCTCGGTTGAATGCTCGGTAGCATGCGAGTTTACCTATCAGGATGTTTGTTTGCATATATCCCTCCAAGTGAGAGGGCTAGGACCTATGCTGATGTTCGTTACAAGAAGTGAACTGAGGACTGATGCTACACGTCATGTATACGCGTTGCTTAGCTTGCAACGAGACGCGCCCACGATGAAAGCTTCAGCTACACTCACAATACATTATACTGCTACACTATTCTCTCCAGTCCTACCACATTATATTTCACCGACGTACTTCCGCACCTTCCACATCACCATACATGCTTTGGAAACGCGGGCAGCTGCTTCACAAGGGCCCCCATCTTTATATACGTATTACATTATACATGGATATATAATTATATAGATATATATTCGCCATTAGCCTAGAACAGTTGAGCCTATTCCACCAGTGAAATGTTCGTTGAACATGAACATCCGCAGTACGAGTGAGAAGTGCCGTACGTCAGTAAGGCCTCCCTTACGAATCGTACTAAACCCTGACGCCGCACCTGAAGCGCTGCTGACACCATCTTGAGATTGACGGTGTACGAGAAGTACACCAATAAGTGACCTGCATGCGAGTGATGGGGGGAATCATAGGCGAGAAAGTGTGTTTTGGGGGGAGAGAGAAAGTGTTTTGGGGGGAGAGAGAAAATGTATACACCCTGTTACCTGATCAGGAAAGGACTTTCCTGCTAATGGCACAGACCAGCATCATTAGTAAACCTATATCTATCTATTTATGCATATGTATACATGTTTATATATACACGTACACATAATATAAACATAATATATATAGCCCTTGTTCGTGTCCACGTTGTGGCTCATAGGCTCTTGGGCCTCTGCAGCTGGGGCTTCTATGGGCTCATTGCACCTCCCGGGGTGTAACACACACATACACACACATACATGTTCACGCCCGTCCCCCCTTCCCACACAACAAGTCGGTTGTCGGCTTCCTTGAAGCCGGAAAAAGGGCGGGGCCCCCCTGCATCCGTACAGGCCGGTAGCTAGGGTGGCACGTGTGACAACTGATGGGTAGTGTCAACGTGGTGGGAGATGTGCTTGTTGCAGCAGTGCTGATGGTGTGAGAGCTAAGCTTGCACCAGCGGAATCGTCAGCACCGCCTGCGGGCTCCACGCGAATCGCATCCATCCCGGGTGCATGCCGCATGGACAGTGCGGCAGACCACAAGTCGGAATGCCCGTGCGACCAAATGGTAACACAAGATGGGTGTTCGAATTATCATACGCCGTCATCTCAGAATTCAATTATGAGATACGCGGCACCTTTTGAGATTAAATTTAGCCCGAGAGGCGTTGATGTGACTTTCAGTGACCTCGGTCAATGGAGGCAGCCAAACTCGTTTGTGCTCATACGATTGTCGTTGGCTACAGGCGAGATACCTTGCAATGGCGAATGCGACATATTACCGATAACGCGGTCCAGCCGGGCGAGATATTATGTTTGGTCCGTTACACACGGCCACACGGACATGGGCAATCCTACAGGTCGGGGCCCCCCTGGGCGCTTCGCGCTGGGGCCCCGCCCAAAAATACCCTAAGCGAAACCCCTTTCACACCCCGCGGCCCCCTCCCCCTCCCCCTCCCTCCCTCCTCCCCCCCCACACACGCGCGCATACACACACAGGGATTCCCTGCCAAAACCATCACCCCGCAAACATCCTCCGCACTCCTGTTGCCCACCCCCCACACACTCACACTCCATACATACACACACACACACACACACAACCCAAAGCACATGGGCACATATCGATCCCAGCCCCAAGCGTATTCTCACCACCCCCTCACCTCACCTACCTAACCCCCCACCACCACCTATCACCTCACGACACCTCACGACCCCCCACAGATAGAGACTACCCCTCACCGTCCGGCGGCACTTCCGGGGCCTTATCTCCATACGCCACTTCGCTGCTGCTCCATGTTCCCCCAGTCAAATTCTTGGCCAGCTCCGAAACAACATTTACGTTGGAGATGTAGAGAGAACTGCTAGCAAGGCGCCGTTTGATGGGGAGATCGCCGAGCTGCACTTTGACTCCTGCATACGGGCGGGTGTATGTATATGTTCGCGGAAGTATATGTATGTGTGTATATGTGTGCATGTGTGTATGTCTGTATGTATGTGCATTTTTGTGTGTTTTGTGCGTATTTATGTGTATGTGTGCATTTATACGCACGTATATAAATGCGTATTGCGAAGGTTGAACAAGCATCAGGGGCTGCTGCCCAGCCCAAACACGAAGACCGCCTAACGCCGACGGGAGAGGGGCGCGAGGGGCCTAGAGCCGCCGGTCCGCACGAGTGAACAAAACTGAGTGAGTACACGAAATATTTCTTGTGCGCATTTGCGTGCATGTGGGACTGTATGTGGGTTGAGGAGGGGCGAATAGACGCATGGGGGAATTTGGCTGTGGCGACAAAAAATGCACCCTTTGTTCGTCAACGCAGCCTCACCGCCTTCCTCAGCTTGTGCATTCCTAACAACTGGATCACTAATTTTTACCTACACTGCCATGGTACGGCATTGCACGGCAGTGTACGGCACATCCTTTCACGCTTACCGTCATAGGTCTTCAGGCCGCTGTTCCATATGAAATCACAGTCCAGGTCGGTCGGCCAGGACTCATCCGGATCGTAGCGGGCAATGCTCGTAGTCACCCAGCGAATCTTGCCGGGGAAATTGCAAGATAGCCGGAACGGTGTTGCCTACAGATACCCGGATATCCGTATCGTCCAAAAACGAATGATACAAAACAGAGGATCCAGGGAGGGTACGGCATTGGTCAGGAGGAATTAGAGCGACAGAAAGGTAGAGATATGTGGCACTTTTCACCCCAAGGACGCACAAACTAACATTAAGCTGCCCTGGAGTATTAGTTTGTATTGCGCTTAGAAAAAGACAAGGTGCAATCTAGTCGAGAAGAAGAATCAAGTCCGGCAACCATTTCTACTTCCGAACAACTCCGAAAATGTGCTTCGAATTGTGCAAATTTATCGCTCAACTCAAAAAGCTCACCTTCTTCTCGAGGCCCTCGATAGTTAAATCTGAGCCAAGTGCAATTACGGGCCGGGAGTAGACAACCTACAGTTGAAAACACCCGACAGCAAAGAGATGGCACCTGTATAAAGCCCTTGCACATGGAATGATAAAGTAACAGAAGTGCGGTTTCCAAGTTGACCCTTACTCGCACTTCTCAACTTTGCAGAGGTCATGAAACAAGCTATTATGGTCCAAAAAGTGAGAAACGTTTCAAGCTTTATCATCAACACTAAACAGTTGATCTGCGTTTCGCGATCGGCCTTGACCCGTGTCGTCTTCCCTCACCGTAATTTGCTGCTTGCCCCACATGTAAGCCTTCCGGGACGTCATCAATTCCGCTGGTGAGGAAACTGTAATATTTAACGGCAACGACGCCATAAACGTACGCCCAGCAGTCGGCGGAGAGGCCGCTAGCTTGCGACCGGTACGCATGGACATCGCCACCTCCGCAGGAAGCACGATAGCTAACATAATTAGGACATGCGCGACTTTTCTCCTGTGGTGCTCAGCCATTTTGCAATATTCTTGGCGGCGTTTCGGCCTCAAGCAGCGCAAAGTCGCAGGAGCTCTTCCAGGATCCGAAGCCAAACACGACTTTGTATCTCTTAGGTGAAGCGCATGTCGTAATAATTGAGGACGGCCAGCGTAGTGGCTGGGAATGAATGATGGCTTAGTCTTCTTTGAGCTTAGTTGACAGCTGGATAGAAACGCGCGCCAGTAAGCTTCTGGTTCGATAGAAATTTAGCATCAGTCACATGTTGGCTTCATGATGTACACATTCGCATGACGTAGTTTCGTCCAAAAGGAAGCTTCCTGGTCAGCCAGCCCGCCCGCCAGGGTATCGGGCCTTTTACAAAGCATATCGCTCTAATCCTGTCGCTTAGGCCAAGAGCTCTTCACCTATGGGGATTCTCAGCAATTGAAACATTTAAATTGTCAAGGTCTTTGTAGTCAGACAACTCGGGAAGCTGCACTGCACGTAACCAAGACCAAGTAGTGGGAATGCCCGTGAGGCCTGGCAGGGACATTCCGACATTCAGGATTGGCCTGTTCGGGGTGGCGAATCAGGGAAGCACAGGAATTGTGCGACCGGGGCAGCCCAAAGAATTGCTCTCCCCGACCTTGTGTCCTACCCTAGCTAGCCCCTGACTCCTCCTCACATTTATTACTTTATAAAAAGCTAATGGCTTATCAGCTGCATCTTGTTTGATTCATCGTCCTGATCGCATTATCTTGTTTCGTAACCTCATTCGCTCTCCAAATGCCCACGTTGCCTCAGGACATCAACGCTTCACAGATGTGCTTCTTATTACCTGATGTATAAAGATATCGTTGGTGGTTGATTGTGGGGCATTAACGATTGTGCATGAACGAACTTTTCCTGCATATTCGGCTTAATTGCTGGCCAATCTTATTCATACCCTGTATCTTGCTGTCGACAGAATATTTAAGATACTTAGCGCGGTATACCGGTATGAACGTGTATACCGGTACCGCCGGTAATTGTTTTCGACTTCCCACTACCCGACACAAAACGACGAGTAACGCCATCCTTGACGAACGACGTTCCCCTTTTCCTTGCTATCTAGTCATCTGCACACCTTAACCACTTCCTCCCCTGAATTTAAACGAAGGCCAGTGACAACTGCCCTATGGACGAGTAGAACATGACTACAGATCAAAACAAAATGTGTATCTGCAATACACGATGATGGTGGCGGCACCGTAAGTGCACAAATGGCAAAGCCGCGCCCAGTTACAGGGCCGCTACCTGCTGCCGCCAACCTGCCCGCCGCTCTTCGAGCTCCTGTTTTCAAGCTGCCAGCCGGTGACTCATCGGGATTATCGAGAGGCCTCCCGCGGAGAACAAGTCCGGAGAACTTCCAGAGCGCTTCACTACGCGCGCTGCCATTGCCATCACCATCGCCATGAAGCTTAAGAGGATGCAAGCACGTCCAGGCACAGACGGCAGATAGACAGTCATTATTGCATCAAGCCTTAACCCAATCTTTCACGCAAACGACCATGAGAGAGGAGTACCAAGTTATCTCGCTCTAGTAATATTTCTTGAACCTTTATTCGACTTTTGCGGCCTCGCTCATTGCAGCCTCCAATCGATGATATGCCTTGCGCGCGTAAAATCATTCGTTGATTAGAGCTATGGCTCCTCCTCCGCGTGCGAAATACCAAGGCGACGGGGATGGCAACTTCACTGAGAATCGCAGACCACGGCTCCACCAAAATTTGCCCGAAAGGCGTGATTTGCAGCCTCTAATGCGGCCCGTAGGGCCGCACGCTGGACTTGAACTCTGTGTTTGAGCTTGAATTGTTTTTAGGTTTACTGATTGAAAATATGCCCTCCCGCAGCCGTAGAAACCGATTTGCCGACCCTTGCTAACCGATGAATAAACGGGGATTCCGGACCGGCTCCGGTCATCGCCGGACCGGCTGCCGGACCAAAATAACCAGCTTCCAGTCCGACTGTGCAAGCGCCTCATTCACTTGGCACCAAATAAAATTCCCATTATTTTAATCAATCCAATTTTTTTGTTTTCTGTCGGACATTTTGATTTTGTGGACGACGAGCTCCATTAAGCCTCCCGTTCGCTCAACCGTTCCATCTAGCCTTCCATCAAGCCTGTTTCCCAGCTTTAAAATTATCAGGCTTTGATTTAGCTCATATGCCTAACGTAGATATCATATAGCTGCGCGCAATGGAGCAGATGTATGACAATGCGCGCCATGGCGGCAATCTCGTATGGGTCGCGGCTGCGGGGCAGGAGGTCGAGGATGCAGTGGAGCATGCAGTAGAGGAGCCGCCTCGGTAAGCTTACTTCAGCCTACTGTGCCTTGGTTTCATGGTGGATGGCGTTACTTCCTTGAGCTGGAGGCTATTGTCACCCCTGTGCACCCTGAGATGTACAAATGTCCTGTAAAGGCAGCGCAAAAGGTGACTCTCCGAAGAGTTCTGGCTAGCGGGGCTGGGGAGGCGGCAGCGGCGGTGCAGAGTGGTGGAACACGCAGCGGGGCTGGGGAGGCGGCAGCGGCGGTGCAGAGTGGTGGAACACGCAGCGGGGCTGGGGAGGCGGCAGCGGCGGTGCAGACTAGGTGGAACGGGTGGCGGGGCTGGGGAGGCGGCAGCAGCGGTGCAGACTAGGTGGAACGGGTGGCGGGGCTGGGGAGGCGGCAGCAGCGGTGCAGACTAGGTGGAACGGGTGGCGGGGCTGGGGAGGCGGCAGCAGCGGTGCAGACTAGGTGGAACGGGTGGCGGGGCTGGGGAGGCGGCAGCAGCAGTGCAGACTAGGTGGAACGGGTGGCGGGGCTGGGGAGGCGGCAGCAGCGGTGCAGACTAGGTGGAACGGGTGGCGGGGCTGGGGAGGCTGGGCGACACAAGAAGCAGTGTACCAATGGTGGTGCTTCTAGATCCAATTGCGGCAAGGGTGCGCAGGTTCTAAATGCTTACATGCTGTTCTGCAAGGAGCAGCATGAGTTGGCAACTTCTCAGGGCACCACCATTCATGTGAAGTACGGGGTGCCATCAGCAGGCGTCTCCGGCCTGCTGGGCAAGCTGTGGTCGGAGTTGCCCCTGGCGGAGAAAAGTGCATACAGTGAGAAGCTGCCGCGCTTAAGGCGGCTAAGGACAGCTTCGATACCTGAGGCCAGACCCTTGCCTTTCTGTGATGTAACCGTTGCTTGTAATCAACCACATCCCAACCTGTCAGCAAATTCCCAGGACAGCTTCGGTACCTTAGGCCATACCCTTGCCTTTCTGTTGCACAATGTGTCCGCAATCAGGCTTGGTGCGGTCGGGAGGTTAGGTAACGTGGGGCTGACAGCTGGGTGGGAGAAATCCGGGGTAACGTGCTGGGTGCGGGTTCCGTGGTGGATGTGCGGACCAGCGCAGGGTACACGGATCAAGTTCGTCGAACAACCTGTCAGCCGACAGACTTGGTGTCGTATCCAAAAGCCTAAACACATCATTCTGCCCGACTACTGCAACCCCAACGTCGACAAGTATGCAAAAGGTCCTGATTCCTCAGCACTAGCTTCCACCGTCGCACGCTAGACCCGTTCGCGAGTAGCCCACACCGTCGGCGCTGCAGCTGCCCTCAACAGACTTCCATGCCCTGTCGGCGTCGGCGCTGAAGCCACCCGCATCAGACCGGCATGCCCCGCAGGCAGAACTCCATCGTTTTCATCATGCTTTCAGGTCTTAGGTGTTATCATTACCAAAATTTCATCGAACTTCACTGTTACTTGAGGTCTTAGGTGTTACGGACTGTGAGGGTGTTCCACTTCCAACTTCAATTTAAAGGAAACAGAAAATAATACTTTTCTTATTTCATTTTTCATGTGCGCGTACATGTGTGTGTGTCTCCATGTGTCTCAAAGCAACCCAAACATTCGCGAAGACCGGTCGCGCGCGTCGGCCTGACCGCTCAAAACGCTGGCTATGGTCATACTTTATCACTAGGACATGATTGGGAGCGTCGAGCAGCACCTTTTCGGTCCAAATTCTGCGGGTCCGGTTCCGGTCCAGTGGCCGGTCGCAAAGGCTGTCGTACCCGGTCCGGCCGGCGGGGCTAACCAACGGCAGCTAGGCTGCATCTACTCAAAACTATCTCCGTACGCAAACCGAACCGCTATCATATTGGAAATTGCAATGGTTACTTGTAATTTTATGCAATAATTTGAAAGAACTTATCAATCACTAAGCAGCGGCTAAGGCTTAGCACTACCGTATTTTACTTACAACGGGAATTGCGTACAGGAGATCGATCCTTGACTGCCTTTTCAAAATTATTCGTCACGTCTGATAACGCCATGCTAGTTTCAAACTATATTGCAATCATGCGCAAGTGAAGTCTCAGGAGATGTAGGGAATGCCTGAAAACGCCGATGGGCCCGCCAGAGTAAGTCCCATAGAGGACATTTGGTAGCTCTAAAGCATCGTTTGTGACATATACTGTGCAAATGTATAGGTGCGTGGCGATCCGTAACCGAGCAAGAAGTTGTGCTGACCGCGTCGTGGACATGTACAAGGAGTACCCTCGTGAGCTTTTCGGCTTTGAGAATGTCAAGCTGCAGCCTGGCGTGCTTACATTCCGCACTATCCTACGTAGCCGGACATCATCGTCCAAGCGGAAGGCATTTTTCAAGGAGGTCAGCTCCTTAGCAGTGGTGGACTTTGCCGACAGCCTGTGCAGCATACTGACCCGTCTTAAACCTGCTCCTAGCGTGCGCGCCGCGGCCCACACAGGACAGCGAGACAAGCCTTTAAAGCCTTTCAAGCGGTGGTACTAGTAAGGTGCAAGGGGCATGGCCGCCGCCGCCCCGGCCGCAGCACGCACGCTTGGAGCAGGTTTAAGGAGGGTCAGTATGGTGTGCAGGCGCTAACTCAAGGAGCTGAACTCCTGCCTCATGAAGATGCCTTCCCATTCCACAGATGGCCCTGCACTCGATCCACTCTGGAAGTTGATGATAAAAGACGTAAGGGAGTGGAGGGGAAGCTTTATGGATTGGCGGCTACAATCAGCAGGTCCCTGCATGTTAACACCTGCAGCAGCAGTAGCAGCAGCAGTAGCAGCAGCAGCAGCAGCTTGCTTGATGATGCCCACCGTCCGTAGTCCCTGAGCAGCCTATCCCTATCCGCCATCTCCCATGGGCAGCCTGAAACAAGCGCTTGCTCACCTCCTGCACCACCACTGCCGACCTACCTCCTGAGCGCAAGCTGTGCAGCGTAAAGTGCTTCGGGGCCTCCCCATTGGGGATCCCGTGGATCTTCACCATGTACATCAACACTTATGTTGTGTCATACGACTGTAGCATTGACAAAACATGTACGTACAGCAGACTAACCCCCACATCTCAGCATAAGACACGAGCTTTTTGCACTGTCAGCCATTTAGGGTTGACTGCCTATGCAGCGTAGGCTATGCAGGCAGTTCTGGTGCAACTTGATGCTGTCAGATGACTTCTTGTCTCACCGGCCTTCCTCTTGCATTCAGGCTTTTGGCCCTCTCCCATGTTGCATACTTCACTGCCTCCATATATATGCTGTGGTCCCTCCCATGGACACAAAAGCCCATGACACATGTATCTCCCACATTTTGATTCCACTCGTGGGAAGCCCTATCCTCTCTTGCCCATACACACAGCTCAGGTAGGTTGTTGTTGTTGTTACATGGTCGTGGGTGCGTTCCCCGTACCTGCAAACTACCCTAATACGAGCCGAGGGCTCAAGGGCTGCCAGATCGCCTATAAGCACCATCCTACCTCGCACTTCCAACGAAACAAGTGATGAAGGATACTAACGACCAAAGGGAACGATAGAGTTGCGGTGGGACCATATACGTTCCAGCATCCTTGCCAGGCGTTCAGGTTCCCACTTCATAGCGTCCTTCATATGCTCGAAGCGTGGGAAACCCATATCAGATCTGATTTTGTCGTTCACCGGACAGTCCAGCAAAATCTCATCCTCGATATGGCTATCAGTGCCGCAGCAAGGGCATACTCGCTCCTCCCTAGGTATATAACGCCGTCCCTTACGCGCTCTGTTAGCCGCCAATGCCCAACAGCAAAGCCTAAACTGCATAAGCTTGCGGTTCGCTGAACGCGGGATAAACATTGTGATATGCGGAAGCACCTCCTTGCCCGCTTGCTCGGCCGCCAGACCCATCCAATACTTCGCCATGTGTAGTCCTGGTTGCTTGCCGTCTGACGGGTACACGTTAGGCTGGACATCTAAACGCGTATGCTTCCAACCACCCACTAATTGGTCCTTGAACTCCAAAACCACACCTTCTGGCATTGGCCTGTTCATCAGCCACTCCACTCGTTCGTCTACCTCGTGTAGCCCTTGCGGGGCCTCTTTCCATACGTCGTGCCCCAAAAAACATAGAAAACGGAGGAGTAGTGTCCCCCATCAGGTAGGTAGGTGATGAAGCTAGCTCTGTACTTGGCCATTGTTGTTGTGGTTGTTACAGTGGGCTCCAGTCTCACGAAGAGTAGAGCCAGCGGGCCGTGCACTGCACTAGAGACTAACATACAAACTAGACTCCCACCCAAATGACCGTGTTATGTCAACAGAGCTGCGGGTGGTCTCAATCCACCAAGCCTGCGTAAATTGTGTTCTGCAAGTCTTTAAGCGGGCAAGTGCTATTTATCTTTAGTAGATGCGTTCTTGCAAAGAGGGCCCTATGTAGCTCTTTCCATAAGGAACAAACATATGGTCCTGCCTGCTGTCTGCTGTCGGGCCGTGTCTGACTCCCCTACCAGACTCGTCCACACGTATTACTTTATGTGTTACATGGTCGTGGGTGCGTTCCCCGTACCTGCAAACCGCCTTAAAACGAGCCGAATAATAGCTGCACCGGCTAAAGAGGACATGACTTGTTTCATTATTCGCATTCTCGAAACTCCTCAGATATTAGGCGTGGGTTCAGCTGCCATCAAACCAGATTGTACCCTGAACAAATGCTTTAGTGTTGCACCATTGTTGTGCGGTTCATCCGGCGTCTTGAGTTTGCAAAACCAGCCTCACCTAATAGTAACTAACTAGGATTACTGACCCAGACGGATTCCAGACTGGACGGACCGCAGCAGGGTCCGTGAAACGGGTTTCACCTCTCCCTTGATGCACTGCATTTTGAGTCCTCTATATATGGGTTCAGCGCGGGTTTGTGTACCGGTCAAAAGGGAAATCTGTAATTGGGCGGAGCCCGGAGTTCGAACAGTGGTCGTATCTACATGGGAACCTGTGTCTTCATGAAGGTCTTTGTTGGGCAGGATAGGTAGCGGCACCCCAACCTACTTGCCTTCAGCTGCAAACCATAGTTACATGTACATGTCCCGACCCAGCACCAAACACCACCCCAACCTACTACATCTAGTTGCAAGTCGTGTGGCACTTCCGTTCAGGTGCTCCACTGCATGGGTAACCCTTTGACGTCCCCCTGATGCAACGGGCGGCTCCTGAAAACCCCAGGTAGCCGTACGTGCAGGGTGCGGCACGACGGGCAATTGTGATGACGACTTTTGACGCAAACTGAACTTGAACTTGTGCCCAACATAATGCGTGTACAGATCCACACAGGGTGCGTAAGTATTGCGACGCTGGTCAGCCAGGGCATGGGCGATGGAGGGCATGCTAAGCGATGTAAAAGTAATCGCAGTCCACGGTCACACAAGGGTAGCTTGATGGTTGCCACGGCTATGCTTTGCATGGAGGAAGAGCTTAATTGGGCCTATCGACAAACCTATACCTGCTGTGATGTTCGACGAGGGCAGGTCTTTTGATAAACGGGCCGAACCGCAGCCTTATAATGCCACGAAGATTGGCGTCTTCTCAAGCGGCGGTGATTGACTGCGTGTAGGCACTAGTGCGTTGTTGAGCTTCAGCTTAGGACCACCCCCATGCGACGCTGCCGGATGCGCTCGTGCACAAACGAGCCTAGCAATGTATCACTCATTACACGGAGGGGCATATGACACAGGAGTAAGGGCCTCGTAATCGCATGTTGGGAGCCTCGTTTTCGGGCGGACATGCGGAAGAGAATCTGCAACGAACTGCCGTACATTGTATGGTGAGACCTGCCTTCCAAATGCTCGACAGGGTCATAATTTGTCAAGCAGTTGTTTGCAAAGCAATATTCCCCCAATTTTGTTGAGGGCCTGTCGGCCACCGCAAACTACTTTGTACGTATAAACGCTGTTGCGCTACGTAAGGTTTAAACAACGCGAATATTACCCTAGTGGCCCTGCTGCTATAAGATGCTAACCTGCAATGCTAATGGAATTCATTTACGGCTTCGTCCTGCACCTTCTTGTTGAGGGCTAGTTAGTCGGACATCCAGCCATTCCTATCTCTCTTTCAGTACGTGAACATTACCTTCTGTAAGATCTCAGAATTATCCTGACAAAAGATTTGACATTTCAAGAGTTTTTTTGCCGAAGAGGTAGAGCTGCTGGTTGACACCGTATCATGGCGCAAGTTGCCGATGAGTTCAGCGAAGCGATGGAAAATCTGGTGAGCGGTAGCAAGGAACAAGCTTTATGCTTGTGCCAGAGTAGCCACAGGCGCAGTCCTGCCTTCCTGCAGGAGGATGTTCACGAGCTACAGGATAAAGACCCTGAGCCGGATGTACATGGTCAGGGCGGGTATCGGTTCGATTCACCGGAACATCAACAGCAGCTCAAGGAGCAAAGGGCGAGTATGGGCTCGGCGGTTCCTTTCCAACAACGAAACCCTGCGTCGATACGCCCATCTTACTCCTTGCGTTTCTCTGCATGATTCTATCTTTCTGGAGCAGGCGCAACTATGGAACTGGTTAAAGAGGGTAAGCTGCCTTGTAAGGGCATTGAATGTTTGCAAAAGTCCATCAACAACCTGGCGGCTTCGTCGCCATCCCATGCTATCGACTTATATAGGAAGTGCCTATGGCTACTTAAATCGGAGCCATTTTGCGCTGCCGCCTCCGTCGCCCCGTTCTTGGCCTGACCATCTTTCCGACTGGCTGCCCATACGTGGCGCCGAAGAGGTCTGACACTTGTAACGTCGATACATGTAATAGCAAATTGGAACACTGTTTTTGGACGGCCCAACGTGCATTCACATTGACCGCCCCTTGTCACTCCCACCAAACCCAACCCCTTGTCTCACTTCTCCCTCCCACTCCCCCCACAACACGAATGCGATCCCGGTAACAACCCTTACCCTCCACAACAATTAATCTTCCCGCTTTCTTAACCATGCGCCATACGCTCATCCCGTTCCTCCGTCCCTTAAGTCTGACACCCAATCGCGTTTCATGTCACATCTCCCCACACCACATCGACACGTCCTCCTCCCCCACTCCTTCCTACCAACCCTAATCCCCCCTTTTCCCTCCACCGACACTACCCCACTGCCCACTTGCCGTATGCCTGCCGAATTTTTCACCAGATGGGCAGCCACATTTTCAAGGAGGGTATTAATTTGACCAAGATTTCCTTGCCGGTCTGTCTTTTTGAGCCTCGATCATTTTTGGAGCGCCTAACCACCAACTGGGAATACAACTCGCTGCTGGTGGCCGCCGCGCGCTGCACGGACCCAGCGGACCGGTTACGGTTCATTGTGGCCTTTGCGATTTCCGGTCTTTGCCGCCAAGTCTCATTTCACAAGCCCTTCAATCCCATTTTGGGGGAGACGTACCAGGTTGGCGATTGAAGGAGGGGAAGGGGGGGAGGGAGTGGGACATTTGGGTTGAGGAATTTAGGAAGTTGGTAATTGTGAGTGGTTCAGATTTTGGTCATAGCGGTAATTGGGTTACGGCAGGGAGGGACCGGGGAGGGGAGGGTATGCCGAGTGAGAGAGCGGGGGCCGTAGGGGTAGGCATGACAGTGTGGCGGTGTCGGTGGTATCGATGGGAAGTGGGGAAGGGGGGAGAAGAGAATTTAGAGAAGGGGAAGGGAAGAGGAAGCTGCAGTGAGGATCGGGTAATCGAAGTGGCTAGGAGCACGAAGGAGAGGAGGAGAATTCGGGTTTGGTTTTCGGTTAACAGGAAAGAAGTGCAGAATATCCAGTTGATTACCTGGAAGGTGTTGGGGACCTTTTGTCAACTTACCTTAAGTTGGCCACCTTGGCTTCTTCTTCTTCTTCTTCTTCTTGCCGCATCTTACTATATTTCCCCCATGTTTCACGTTCCTGGGAGCTGTTGCTGTTGAGGAGGCTGCTGATGAGACTGTTTTGCCCCTCCTCCCTGACTGCTTCACTCCCGCATATTTTTCCCTGTGAATGCAAAACTCCCCAACAACAACCCAAAGACCCAAAACCCAAATCACGCGTTTTTCATTGCTTCAGGCGGTGTACCCAAATGGCATCGAGGTGTACTGCGAGCAGATTAGTCACCACCCGCCCATTAGCAGCTGGGAGGTCTACGAGCCAAGCGGAAAGGTGAGTGAGGGCTTCCCCACTGTATGTATGTATGTGTGTATGTGTGTATGTATGTATGTATGTATGTATGTGTGTGTATGTATGTATGTATGTATGTATGTACACACGCATTATGTTCCCCCTTCCTGTCGGCCCTCCTGTTGTAGTTTGTGTTTCACGGCAACGGGAACTGGGTCGCCGGCATCAAGGGCAACAACGTCAAGGGACGTCAGACGGGCATCAATTGCGTGCGCTTCGCCAGCGACGACGCCGTCGTGGAGTACGAGTTGCCGGGGTTGCAAGTCAAGGGTGAGGGGGGAAAACAAGGGGAGGAGGGAAAAGGGGAGAAAAAGGGGGATTGATGACCTCGACGACGACGGCGCGATGGGCACCCTGCGATAGTTGCCATGGCAGTAGCTGCAGTGGCAGTAGCTGCAGTGGCAGTAGCTGCAGTGGCAGTAGCTGCAGTGGCAGTAGCTGCAGTGGCAGTAGCTGCAGTGGCAGTAGCTGCAGTGAGCCCCAACTGCCGTGCCTCTTAAGTAACATCGTCTTGGCAACACCGCATGGGCGACCCTCCATCACCCTGAAGCCCTCCTGGGAGCCATTTTCGACACACACGCACGCACGCACGCACGCACACACACACACACACACACACACACGCACGCACGCACGCCCACCCCCCCCCCACACACCTACCTCTACACCCCCCTGCTGCGTGTGAATCGGTGGCAGTTTGTTGTCTTCTATGACTCTCTATGCATCATATTATTCCCCCACCAGATTCATCTGCGAAATTAGATCTCATTATTAAGTTTACTAATAGTATGTTGCCTAGTGCCTAATGGATGCGGCGTGAATTTGTTGCCTATTTGAGGAGCAATGTGTGGTTGTTAGCAGCACTACCACCAGCAGCACCGCCATGCGCCGCCCGCGCTTGCAGGTGTGTTGTGGGGCGTGCGCGTTCTCAAGTATAGCGGCCAGATGGTGTTCAAGGACAAGAAAAATGGCCTGCAGTAAGTCGTGTGTTGGTATATATGTATGTATGCATGTGTGGGACACGGGGGGCATATCTTCACCCGTAGCAGCTACCCTGCGAAACCCTGCCTTCCCCGGTATTTCGGGGCACCCTCATCCAGTCACCCTAGTCAACTTCTCAGTGGATCGCTCAGGTTCCGCACCCACCACCAGCATTCAACGGAATCTGCCGGGTCGACGGCGGCCCAACTCCATTCCTGGTCGGCTCGCAGGTTAACTTTATCCCAGGTCACCACCGTCCATCGACTAGGGGCACTATTACCTTCAATCATTGGAAGGATTTCCGACCCTGACAGGTCTCGATCCCGGAACCTCCGGGGGCATTAGTATGTGCCTTACCAGTAGTGCCTAACCTGAGTATGTATGTATGTATGTATGTATGTATATATGTCGTCTTACCCCTCCCCTCCCCTCCTTGCTGGTTACCTTCACGGCTCCCGTCCTGCTTTCCCAACTGCTCCGTTATCTCCCTTCTCGAAAGATCAGCACGGTCATCACCACGGTCATGTCCCCTCTCCCTCACATCGCTATTCCCTGATACCCCCCCCCCCGCCCCTCTGTCCGTTTCCAATCGCTTCGTCCAACCCGCTCAGGGCCGTAATTGACGTGGACCCTCCAGCACCCAGCGCCGGCTTCCTTTCGGGCTGGTTTCGTGCCAAGAAGGGACCGCCACACAAGCCGGACCAAGTGTTTGGGCGGCTCATGCAGGGCGACACGGTGTTGGACACGTGTCACGGGTCTTGGCTGCACTACCTGGAGTGGGACAAGGGTTTGTCGCCGGCGGCCGGTGGCGCAGCCGCCGCCTCGTCCACTCGGCGGCTGTGGGACATCCGCACCTCCCCTCTGACGCCCGCAGCCCCCCTGGATAACCCGCTACCCAGCGACTGCCGACACCGTGAGGATGTGGTGTACCTGAAGGCGGGAGATCAGGTAGGAAAAAGGGAGAAAGGGGGAGGGAGGGAGAGGGGAAGGGGGGTTAAAGCCAGGTTGTTGGGGAGTTGGGGAGGGGAGAGCGTGGGGATTGCATTAGTGTGACTAGGATGTGAGTAGGATGTGACTCATTTGCCATTTAGGATGTGTGTGGGGGGAGGGAGTAGCTGAAATGACTGACACGTACGTATCATTTCAAAAAGCGGTGTTCAAGCTATAGGGTACCTCGCACTAGGCGCCTACTCGGGGGCGACGTCGTGGACAACCTTTCCTGTCCTAGTGACATTCCGTTCCGTGCCCGTCCCTGTCGTACATCTGTCCCTGTCGTACATCTTCCCCCGGTGATACTCCGGCTTGGCCTTGTCGAACGCAGCTGCTGGTCGTCGATGCCGTACCTTCATCCTCTTTGACGGCCGGTATTTCATGATGCCCTCTTTTCTTGTCTTGTTCGTTTGAAGTTTTTTATGTCTGTGATTTTGTGTGATTGCAAACTATCAACAGGTTCAATCTCAGGACTGGAAGCAGACATTGGAGGAGCAGCAGCGCAGGGACCGCAAGCTCCGGAAAGAGGGTGGCTGCGCCTTTGATCACTGAACGGCTGCTGTACAAGGCGGCGGTGGAGGCGCGTTGTGTGTGTGTCTGTGTGCGCGTGGCTCTCTGTGTGTGTGTGTGTGTGTGAATCTGTGTGCGTTGTGTGCGTTTTTGCTGTTTTCTCGTGACTTGGGATGACATAGAATTAAAACGTCTGGTTTGCTGGTCCGGATTGGGGACGAACCAGAGACGTCTGTGTTTGCTGCCACTTGAATTTATTGGTTTTGCTACTACCTACAAGTTGCCCCCCGAGGTCCCCAGCATCATCATGTCCCCTCGGCATCCGGTGTCGTGTCATTCTGATCATTATCAGGTTCCTTAGCCTCCAACTATGTTTTGATGTACATAACATACGCCTCTACGTCGCGCGTGTTCTGTTCATGTGTCTGTTTGTATGTCTGTTTGATGTCTGAAAGGACAGGGCACAAGCGGCCTTGTCCTTTCAGAAGGTATAGCACGAGGGGCCTAAGAAGGGCTGCGCGCATTTCACGCACGCAATTGTATTTCCCTAAAGGTTCCTGGTGCTCGTCCTAAGCTCCGTCGTACCGTCCTCGACGCTTTTTGGAAGATGTTTTGTCGCTGGGATGCTGCAGGCTATATATCTATGTGAGAACACACCCAATGGACGAAGTTGGCGGGCCCCACCACACACGGGCGGTTTGGGAGGAGTGATTCCTCCTTAGTGATCTATCTGGACACGCAGCTGGTTGGGATCAGGGTTTTAGGGGGGGTTTGACGAAGTTTTGGGACGTGTTTTTGGGCCGAGACGGGGTATCACAGCCCGCACACTGCACAGGGGCATATATACGGAAACCATAGGGACAGAGGTAGCATTTGACATTTGGGTTTTGGGTTGGGAGGAGTCCATAGACGCTGGTAGGGGTTTGGTATTGCTATCGCTATTTGCGCTGGTATTAACGCCGATATGCGCTTGTGACGCGTAAGAGACTTTAGGCTAATAAGACCTAGGCCTTAAGAGACACAGAGAGACAGAGAGAGAGACAGAGAGAGAGAGAGAAGCGTACAGGGGGACGGGAACAGGAAGGAAGAGCAGCAGGAGGACGACTGGTTCGTAAAGGCTTTTGATGATTTGGGGAGTTTGGACGGTTGTGTCTTGCCGTACCGTAAAACAGCGTCAGCAGCATCCCCCATTTACCCAGCGAGGCAGTTGTTATTATAACACTGCACAACGGGCAGGGCTGTGGCATCTCAGGGAGGTGTGAAACATGCTTCACACTGACAGTGACGAGTGTCCCTTTTTTGATTGCGTGATGAGGATGACGGCGGATTGCAGACCGGGGGCGTTTAGCTTTTGGCGTGCATGTGGGCGCCTGGGCGGGGAGGGACAGGTGCTACCGCTTTGGAGGCTGTGGAAAGCCACCAACAGCCGGGCAGTCTCGTGCAGGAAGAAGGCTGGCAAAGGGACAAAGTGGTAAAGGTGGCTCCCTGTAAACAGGAGACTGTGGGAAGGGCGCCGCCGGTGCGGTCGTATCCACATGATTTGCTGCGGCCGTTTGGTGCAGGATGTGAATGCATGCGGCATGTGCGCACCGCTGCTTTTGGCCATTCCCTGCGCGGTGCCTCCCGTCTTGTAGTGCTGCACACGACGGGAGGGCCTCAAGATGCTTTTTGTCGATGGTGTTCGATTTGTTTTAGTTTTAGGTGCTTTCCCTTTCAGAACCTTTCCTCCGACCACCCCGGTCCTTTCCTCTGGCACGTGGGCGCTTTCCAGATCCCAAATTCCATAACTCCCCATGGTGGTCAGGGAAGTGGGTGTTTCCGGGTCCTGAGCCTTCCCGAGGGGACACCGAGTTGTTGGGCTGTGCGTGCGGCGGACGCACGGGGACCGCGGTGTGTACAGGGATGTGGGTTGTTGGGGAGAGGGCAGAAAGGAGCTGCTGTGCAGCGGGTGTGTGTGTATGAAGCCGTTGACAGACGCGGTCACATCCTGCTACACGTATGTACCTCCTGACACGTGTGAAACGTGCTGTCGCGTCGTAGTGGTAAAAAGGACGTGAAGCGGCTTGTGTAGCGTGGCTATGTGTGTCTCTGTGTCATTTGTGTGTGTGTGTTACTGGTGAACGAGAGCGATGATGGATGGAAGGGTGGATGGATGGGTGGGGGAATTGTGGCGGCGCAGTGCGGCATTCGAGAATGGATGAATTGTGAGATATGATGACACCGATGACAGACAGACATACAGACAGATGCTCAAACGGACGGAAGGACCGGTAGACATCAAGGGGCGATCTATTAACGTATTGGTTACATAATGTAAATACCCTAGCTGACGGATGCACAAGCAGACAGACAGACAGACAGACAGGATAGCAGCAGGCTTGGAATCTGTATTATAACCTCCTCCTACCCATGAAGCCGTAGTGGGGCTTAAAGAGAAGCTCAAGCAATAGCAGCCACAAAATGGCTACAAATGTGGCGCTATTGTCATATATACATATATAACCCTTTAGCCTAGTTTGTGTTTTGCGTTGCGGACTGCTGCCAGGAGGCGACTGTGGGCAGATAACCAGACACGGGCCCGCGGCTGAAACGTCCTAAAGCCCAATCCGCCGGCCACACCGTAACCAAGAAGCATGCGAATCCCGGGACTGGGAGATAACTCCGTAGTATTGTGGGAAAGACGATGAGATGGTGTATATGGTGAGCAGGTACATGCAATATGGTGGGGAGGTACGGTACGTTGGTTTACAGCTGCTGCGCTGTGGCGTACGACGCGACTCTTTGTTACGTAATTGCCAGCATGGGGTGTGTGGTTAGGGGCTGGGCGGGGAGGGGAAGGAGTATCGGAAGGGGGAGAGAAAGAGAGAGGGAAGGAGAAGATCCCAGTCGCCCTGAACTGCAGGAGCAGCGGGTCTGTAACGTGATGGTGATGAGGACCGGGTGGGTATCCTGGCGTGCTCACTTCGTGTGTCGCTGCTGGACATCGCTGCTGGAATCGTAAGCTCTGGCGAGCACAGCGTGAGTAGCTGGGTTGTTCTTGGGGGGATGTTATGTGATAACGTGATGTAGGAGATGTGTGTTAGCCACGATGCACGACAATCGTGTTTGGTTGGCGGTTGGTTGGCAGCAGCAGCGCAGCGCAGCAAACCATTTGCTGACTAGGAAAGTCCGCAAAGCAGAGTCAGCGCTGCCAGGCGCCAGCCAAACATGGCTGTCGTACTTCGTGGGTGATGCATCTGTGTCTCATTTCCCCTAGCGAACTAACCGTTTCCCCCTCACCCTTCCGCCCGCCATCTGCCCTTCCCCCGCCGCATCATCCTCGTAACCGGCTGGTGGCGAGGCGGGTGAACGACATCCCGTTCTCATGCTCTGCGGTTCGGCGGCTACGGTATCGTCGCATTTTCCTGCCTTATGCCTTATGGCCCACCTCCTAGACTTAGGGTTCGTAAGGCTTCGGCTGCATCGCTTCCTCTTGCAGTTATAAAAATGCGATCTACATGATGCTCAATTCAGCCAATATGTTTAGGCACCGGCTCGGAAGGAACGACCTTGCAAGCTGCCCGTGCTAGCCTTGATGAGCATCGCTTGTCACTCTGGGCCTCGTCATATGCTGAAAATAATACAGCTGCCGCGTAAAATAGCACAGGATAGCATCATATGCGTCTGCCGCACTCCTGCCTTCTGCGGGATATCCGCTGTCAACTAGGGGACTCCTTTGCCCTCTACTATTCCTGGGGCAGTAGAGGGAAGGAGCTCATGCGGCTGTGGGCGGCACTACGTGCCTGTCGATATTAGCACCTTGCTTTCTATTTTATTCAGCAAGATAGTGCCCAATATTGAGAAACACAGGATCCCGATGGGTAATGGACGCCTGGACGATGCAGGGTGTTGTATACTGTTTCTTAAATCTGGCTCCAAACTTATACATTTTCTGTCTAGTTTTTCCTTTTTCGCTTGGCGCGGTTGCTGGACAAGTTCGCGGGAACTAACTGAATTCCATCTGCCTATTTTGCCGCCTTTCCGTCAGATCTTATGGCTCCGACCTCCGGGTCAGACGGCGAACGGGAAGCTGTCATGGATGCCTACAAGTAAACGCTGCCTCAGGCGGAAGTCTATACTTGCAGAAGTATGGGCGGGGGTCGTAGTACAGGCTACGACTGGGACGCTGGTCCCAGCCCCGTCATCGATTGGAAGCATGGATCAACGGTACGCCATTCCGGGACTGGACCGCGCCATTTCGGAACTGGCTGTCCGATTCATTGGATGGCTGCATCCCCGCTACTTAAGCGGACAAAACTCTTCCAATCGATGTCTTCCGACGCCACCATCCCGCTGCAGTTGTGCTTTGGTTAAATATAACAACACTGATCAATTGATCTACTAGATATGAATAATCCTTCATCTCCTATTCCGATTCCTGCAGAGAAACACACCGCGAGGTCGCGCCACGTCAGGACGACCGCCGGCGATGTAAGGAACAACATCGCTACCCGCGATTTGCCCGCTGGGGTCAGTGATGAGATGATTAGGATAAATATTCCGGTACCTGGGCTTAGTATCGCTGCCGATATTAAGCTTAAGTGATATTTAGCGGGAGGTTGCGCCACGTGTCCGCGCCTTCATTCGTGATGTGTAGAAGAGCTTGCTGCAGGGCAACATCACACTTGCTAAACTTCGTTCTCAAACCCGCGTGCTTCTGCGTGCTTCCACCGCTGTGCAGGATCCCGCGCCCATCATCACTGACGACGGGGACCTCCTGGCACCGGAGGTCAGGCCTCGGGCTGCTACTGCTGCCGCTGGGCGGAACACAGCTCGCCAGGCCTCCGGTGCTGGTGAGTCGAACCGTGGGCAATGGGCCTAACCGCAGATAAGTGAATGAAAGGGCTGTTGCAGAGTGCTGCGTTTAGGGTTTCAACAGATTGCTTGGCATACTCGTTTCCCATGTGTGTCATGATTGCAATGAAAATGCAGTTGCACTGGGTGTCAAACATGTATCATGGGGCAAGGGGGCCTGATCGAGATCAGTCACTGTTTAATCCCTG